AACGGTCGTCCATAAAATGCATTGCTGTTCTGTTGTAAGTGATCTTAAAGATTCCTAAATGCATCTACTTCCGGAAGGCCAAATAAAGTGCTTTTGCTTTGCCTAGAAACACACAGCGTCTCCCTGACATGCTGCTTCAACACTAACTGCGGTTACTGAAACCACGCCTTCTTTCTTTGCGTGCACATTTGGGCGCATTATGCTAATATTTCCACATAGTGAGGTAGATATGTGGGGGCGTGTTAGAACGAGCCGTTTTAGGGGGGCGTGGCAGAGTCTTTGATAAAGAATATCTCTTTGGTTTTGAGACTTTAGTCTTTGCAACTTCAGGGATCTTATCTATGCACAATCAGCTTGTAACACTCCAAAGAGAAAGGAAAACTTGAAATCGCATCATATGACCCCTTTAAAAAAAACAATGAAAACTCTTAAAAACTGTACTTGCAGATAATATTCATGAAATAAAAAGCCACTTAAATGTACTCAAAGAGAGACACTTTCATGACCATTTCTTAACACACTTAAATACAATTTTACAAAGTGCATTTAATTAAGTACACTTATTTTGAAGTGTTGACTAACATACTAAAGCACATGTAAAGTACTGGATTATAATTTTAACTGTAGAGTGTTATTTAATATTACATTTAAAGTTAATATATTTTAAAATATACTAAATCACAGCGTTATCATTACAAACGTCTAACTACAAATATATTTAAATGCAAGACATTCAAGTTTCCATTGAAATGACATTCAAATATATTTATACCATAAATACTTGTCAGTACATTCAGCAGTGCACTTTAACCATATTTCAAAGACAATAGAAGTAATCATGAAATTACATATAAAGATGTGCTTAAGCCCTGCTTAAGTAAATGACTTAAGCACCTAATTAACATGCAATTAAGTGTCCAAAAGGATTACATACAGTATTCTTTTTTCAAAGTATTTGTTACATTGCAGGCTTTTGCTAAAATGCTTTAAATTATTTCTTTAACATCAATCTACACTCCACACCCTGTTATGACAAAGTTAAAAACAGATGTGTGGTAAGTGATAACTTATCAAGTTTAAAAAGAAAAAAACTGAACTATTACACTGACAAAAACATTCCTAGCCTTTGCGAAGACTTTTGAAATCTAGCTCTGGTGCATCTCATTTCTCTGGATTATCTTTGAGATGTTTGTACACATCAGTCAAACATCTCTGGAGAGACCTGGGTCCGGCTGGGAGGCAGAATATCCCCAAATCCAGTGCAAAGCTTGTTACATCAAACCCAAAAACACTTGAGGCTGTAATCGCCGCTAAAGATGCTTCAACTAAGCACTAAGTTATGCAGTGTGATATATCAGTTTTATAATTTTAAAAATGTTATCACAAATCTGGTTTGTGCTTTGTCATGACAGGGTATATGAAGTGTAGATTGATGCGAAATAAAAAATGTAAAACATTTTAGCATAAGTCCGCAACATAATTAAAATGAAAGGGTCTAAATACTTTCTGAATCCAATTTGTATTTTTTTTTTTTAAGTGTTTTATAAGATGTGCTTTAAGTGTTTATTATGCTCTGTGGGAGACAGGATGACTGAAACACAAAGGCCACACACACACACACACACACACACACTCTCTCTCATACACACACACAGCAATTTCCAACTGCAATTAAATGTGGGACTGTATAAGAGTTACAACCAAAACTACAATACTACTGAGCGAGTTTAACTTGTTTGGTGTCTGTGATTTTTGACCAAAATGAGCGGAGACGCATTATATCAGACCATTTTAAGTCAACCATTGTTGACAGAGGTGCTGTGTTTTGTTCACGCTCGTAAAAGCTGCAGTGTGCTCTCATTCAGTGTTGCCATGTCTGCTTTTTATAAGCTTGGTTTTTCTCAAAGACACTTATTTATGTGCAGTTATGCTTATTTAAAGAACTCAGTCCCGTATTAGGGCTTATTTTGGTGAGGCAAGTCTCTTGTTTTGGCTTTGTTTTTCTACGGAGATCTGGCAACACTGCTCTCTCTGGACACTAATGTATGAGATCCCAGAGACCACAGGGCTGATGGGAGAAACTATGGCAGAGGAAGAGAGATGTGTGAATGAGTGAAGACATACAATACCGTTCAACAGTTTAGGGATTTTTCTTTCATAGAATAGAATACTTTTATTTTGCAAGGGTGTAGGGTTGTGACGGTGAGGAAATTTTCCCACCAGTTAATCGACGTGTGACAACACCGGTAATACCGGTATCACCGCGGGGGCGTTCCCTCTTTTCCTCGCTTTCCTTCGCTTTTAAATAGCTTAAAAGTGCCGTGCGCATTTTACTTTCACTTTCGAATTAGCGGCAGTTCGGCGTCAATTGCTTGAATGCAACAACAAAATACAACGTCAAACTCACTTTAGCCTATATATAAAACATAGAACTTTTATTAACAAAACAAATACAAATACACCATGCTATGCCTAATATGCCTAATATAAAATAACAAATAACTCACATAAAGTTTAAATAGGTATACAAAACTGGAAATAAGTAAACATGTATAATATATAACCAAATAAATAAGAAACGTAGAACGTTTATTAGCAAAACGAGTAAGAAAGCTTGGAGGCACGGCATACACCTTGATAAATAAATGACACAAAGTTTAAATAAAGTAAAAATCGGCAAACCTGGAACCAATTAAAAAAGAAACGAATGTTTAAAAAAACTTCCAAAATCACCTTAGATAAGTCAACAGGCTTTTCAAAATCCCAAAAATTTTGCCAAACAGGTGCTTTTGCATTTCGAAACTAAATCATCCGCGATCGTCTCGTCTGTCTCACCTCGCTCTTCTCGTCTGTCTCCCCTCGCTCTTCTCGTCTGTCTCCCCTCGCTCTTCTCGTCTGTCTCCCCTCGCTCTTCTCGTCTGTCTCCCCTCGCTCTTCTCGTCTGTCTCCCCTCGCTCTTCTCGTCTGTCTCCCCTCGCTCTTCTCGTCTGTCTCCCCTCGCTCTTCTCGTCTGTCTCCCCTCGCTCTTCTCGTCTGTCTCCCCTCGCTCTTCTCGTCTGTCTCCCCTCGCTCTTCTCGTCGGTCTCGCCTCGCTCTTCTCGTCTGTCTCGCCTCACTCTTCTCGCCGGTCAGCTCGCCTCGCTCTTCTTGTCGGTCAGCTCGCCTCGCTCTTCTCGTCGGTCAGCTCGCCTCACTCTTCTCGTCTGTCTCGCCTCGCTCTTCTCGTCTGTCTCGCCTCACTCTTGCAACTGTCGTTCGGCACGCTACATTGAGCAGCCACGTTCAGTTTTTAATTGCAGTGTCTGTTCTTTTACTGAACTAAATGATTTTTATGACTATAAAAAAATCTAAACGACTGTGGGGGTCGGTGACGCAGTGGGCAAGTGACGTAACCAGTGTTGCGGCTTAACACCGGTATCACCGTCAGCACCGTCTATCGCGGCAAGACTTCAAGGGAGCATTAAATTGATCAAAAGTGACAGTAAAGACTTTTAAAATGTTACAAAAGATTTCTATTTCAAATAAATGCTGTTCTTTTGAACTTCCTATTTGTCAAAGAATCTTGAAATCAAAATCTTGAAGAATCTTGTTTTCAAAATTGATAATAAAATAATAATATAAAGTTTCTTGTTAGAATCCTTTCTGAAGGATCATGTGACACTGAAGACTGGAGGAATGATGCTGAAAATTCAGCTGCGCATCACAGGAATACATTACATTTTAACAGATATTCACATAGAAAACATTTATTTTAAATTGTAATAATATTTCAAAATTTTACTGTATTTTTGATAAGCATAAAATATTTATTTAAAAAACATTGAAAAAAATCTTGCCAATCCCAATCTTTTGAATGATAGTGTAGTTGTCACTACATTAACTTTTTGGCCTAAATGTCTTCGATCACAGGTCTTTCTTGGTCCAAGAAACAAAATTGTGCTCATTTCACCTGGAGTGAAATTTAAAAAATATATTTTTTTTGAGGTATAAACGTGGATATTTATGTTTTTTCTGCTGCTTTCAAAAGTTCTGATGCCTAACTGAAAATAACTGTAACATGCAACAAGACCAGTAACATGCCATTTTGACTGTATGCTGACTTTAATCTGTGAGAGTGTGCATGACATTCACGGGTCACTGTAGGGTTTCTGTCCCATGAACAGAGGGAATGACGTCTTTGGTCCTAGAGGCACTTCCTTTCTGAAGCTTTTGTGAATTGTTTGCACTTGTCAGCTGTTTCAGTAGTGAGTGACAATGACCTTTGAAAGTGTCAAAGTTCACACTGAGACAGTAGTGAGTGTCTCGCTAACACAGCAAAGCGCCGTTACTCATTTAACATGCAAAGATGTAATTTATGTGAAGGCCTTAAAGGCACAGCAGCAAAAAAGGATCTTATAAGGGTCAAAGAGAAGATGAAAACTTATCACGACTTCTGTTTATGCTACAAAACATTGACTAATATAGATTTGTTTTGTGTTAAAACAGTCTGCTTCTGTTAAATACCTTAACTGAGGATCCAGACGAGAGACTTGAGCTGGTCACTTTGAACGGTGTCGCTCTTAAACCAAGCGTCAGCTCTGAGAAAACCACAAATGAGAACAGTTAAGACAAATACAAGATTTAGATGAGACTCAGCTTCTAAAGAACGTCTAATGACGGTGTGTGTTTGAAGACATCATGCCACCCCAAGAAATATTTACACAGCACTGTTTAGACGTAAAATCGAGCTTCAGTCGGAGTGGAGGTTTTAATCTGTTATGTAAGCTGCCAACAACGGCACCACATAGGGCTCATAAATTAGCATGGTCACATTACTGCTAATGTAAACACTGCTCAGCGCTCTCTGGATACGTTCAGCGTGGAATACAAATGCACCACTTGCTGCATCAGCACATATTGTCCAGGCTTATTATAGTTAACTAAAACCAGAAAACTAAAAAAGAAAGAAAAAAAACAGACCATTCTGTGTTTGCTTAAAATGCATTTACTGTGCAAGGTGCATTTTCTGCTGGAAAAAAAGTCTTTGTTTTTATGAAGAGATTTGTTTTAAAGTGTTTTTTGGGAGGGGGGGGGGGGTTTGCACAAAGAAATGTGCAACATTTTGTCTGGGAAATAATAAAAGGACACTTTTCCATTTAGAATTTGTCTTAAATGTTATTTTAATCTCTATATAAAAAAAATATAGTGAGAAAATTGTATTGTGAAACCAGTATCATGAATTATATTGCAGCGTGAGTTTTCAGTTATGTACAATTTATTGGAATTGAAGACTACAGTTCCAGTTTTTTTTTTTATAATAATACTTTTATTCAGTAAGGATGCATTCAGTTGATCAAAAGTGACAGTAAGACATTTATAATGCTACAAAAGATTTATATTTAAAATGTTTTTCTTTTGAACTTTCTATTCATTAAATAATTTTTTTTTTAAATCACAAAAATATGAACTGTTTTCAACATTGATAATAATCAGAAATGTTTCTCGAGCAGCAAAGCAGCATATTATACTGATTTCTGAAGATCATGTGACACTGAAGACTGGAGGAATGATGCTGAAATTTCAGCTTTGATCACAGAAATAAAATACATTTTAACTTATATTCACATAGAAAACTGTCCTTTTAAATCATAAAAATATTTCACAATATTACTGTATTTTTGTATCAAATAAATATAGCTTTGGTGAGCAGAAGAGACTTACTTTTTTTTTTCTTAAAACTTACAAATCTGAACAACCCAAACTTTCAAATGTACTAGTGTACAAAAAGTCTCTTTGTTTTCTCCAATCAAATGAATTCAATCATGTTGTTTCTCCATCAGAACTTGATACTATTAATTGAAAACATGTGTTTTATCCCAAGAGATCTGGTTTGTTTAAAGACATTAAAACGTCAATAAATTCCCAAATAAAAACCTCTTTGGCCAAGAACACGCTGCTGACGAAATCAAAGAGTGAATGTGGCTCTTAAATAAAGCAGCCTGCTCTGTTTATAGTCTCTTCCATCAGTTCGCAAGCGATTACAATATTTACACAATACACAATAGACCAGGGTCCTTATGTGGTTCAGCAAGACGGTAAACACTATTTTACTGCAGCTCTATAGCATTAAGTATTACTGTATTTTTGTATCAAATAAATATAGCTTTGGTGAGCAGAAGAGACTTACTTTTTTTTTTCTTAAAACTTACAAATCTGAACAACCCAAACTTTCAAATGTACTAGTGTACAAAAAGTCTCTTTGTTTTCTCCAATCAAATGAATTCAATCATGTTGTTTCTCCATCAGAACTTGATACTATTAATTGAAAACATGTGTTTTATCCCAAGAGATCTGGTTTGTTTAAAGACATTAAAACGTCAATAAATTCCCAAATAAAAACCTCTTTGGCCAAGAACACGCTGCTGACGAAATCAAAGAGTGAATGTGGCTCTTAAATAAAGCAGCCTGCTCTGTTTATAGTCTCTTCCATCAGTTCGCAAGCGATTACAATAGACCAGGGTCCTTATGTGGTTCAGCAAGACGGTAAACACTATTTTACTGCAGCTCTATAGCATTAAATATCCTGAGGCTTTCAAGTACGGTTCCCCTGCCTGCGAGACCTTTCAGAGGCAAGGATGAGCAAAGCACTTCCAAAAAAGGAAGATCTGACAGAGCTGTGGCACGACGACAAATACGGTCTGTTGATGAAACAGAGAAGAGACAGACAGAGAGCGATATGATAAAACGAGGAGAATAGTGATTGTGTTTATGCATCAGCCGGGTGAAAGAGGGTGAACTGGCATGTGAATTATGATTATATGACAGGGGTCCATAGACACACATGCCAGTTAACCAAAATACTACGGTTATATAATTTTATGAGCTAGTTTTGATGGAAATTCAACTAAAAATGGTCTGCATATAAAATTAAAATGTAGCACTTTACTTGACGCCTTTACATTCAATGCAAAGTATTTTTAATGCATGAATTATACAGTTATAATACTTACACCTTTAGAAAGTATAATGCATTACACACATGACAATTTCAGATGCAACATGGAATCGGCATATATAATGCATTTTAACTTTAGTCAGTAAACTCTACAAAATATACCGTACAATGGCATTACATTTTGAATATCTAAAGCATTAGGCTTCAAGTAAAGTGTTACCAAATATGGCAATGTATATTTTGGATAATTCAGTGAATTAAATACTTTAAAAATGAAATGCACTTCATCTCATCTCACTACTATTTCAGAACCTGGGGGAAGCAACAGAAAACATGATGGAAAGTCTGATAACAGCTTCAAATTACGCAACAGAAGTTATCTAATATTGCTTGCATTATATTGCTATCAGTGCATAAAAAAAGATTTGCTTCAGTCCAAGTGAAAATGAAGACAAAAGTGCAATTCATAAATTGGGAAATGGATACAAAACATCCAAATGTTTGGAAGCCGAAATATTGCGCTGCTGTTTCAATTGACAAGAAGCGGATGCTAGAATAAACCGTTCTAGACGGTACTTAGAAAAGGTCAAATCTTCACAAAGACACTTCAGAAGCAAAAAAACACAAAAATGACTCTGAAGAAGCTACAGATCTGAGAACACAACTGCAACGTGGGAAAATATTTTGCTCAGTCTCTATCTAGTCGTTAACACTTTAGATTAAGGAACACATTCACTATTACCTAAGAGTTTTCCCTCAATAAACTCCTAATTTGCTGCTTATTAATAGTTAGTAAGATAGTTGTTAAAGGGGTCATATGATGCGATTTCAATTTTTCCTTTCTCTTTGGAGTGTTACAAGCTCTTGGTGCATAAAGAAGATCTGTAAAGTTGTCAAAGTCTCAAATCCAAAGAGATACAATGCCGGTTGTTCTGACTCACAGACTGTAAGTAAGTTTTTTATGTTTAAAGAATTTGTCGCTGACGATTCAAACGTGAGTTTTGAGCAGTGTAGAGTAGCACTTGTTGTTTGTAATTTCTCCGATCACAAATGCAGACATGGTTTTATGTTTATGCGGCGCGATGCAACGCAACACGTAAAAAGACAGTATAAGTCATTATAATCCGTAATTATGTCCCCACTGGATGCAACAAATGCCTCGTTTATAATGGGTTTTAATGTTTTTGTCTCGTCGCTCCGGCCGGACAGGGCATCACAGTATGGTGAGGGGCGTAACATTTCCGTCACACGCTTGAGGTATTCGGCCAATCACAACGCACTTGATAGCTGGCCAATCAGAGCACACCTCGCTTTTCAGACCGATGAGCTTTGTAAAAATCGACATGTTTCAGAAAGACGGGGCATAGAGGAGAAACAATAATGTACAGTATGTGGAAAGCAATGTGCTTTTTTAACCTTAAACCGCATAAACACATTTCATTACACCAAATACACAACATAGTTATTTTTAGCAACATCATATGACCCCTTTAAGTTTAGGTATGTGATAGGATTAAGGGATTTAAAATATGCTCATGTAGAATAAGGCATTAATATGTGCTTTGTAAGTACTAATAAACAGCTAATATGTTAGTAATATGCATGCTAATAAGTTAATAGTGAATAGTCTTCCCTAATCTGAAGTTTTACCATCTAGTCTTTACACAAAGTTAGCATAAGGCTTCAGAAGACTTTCAGTAAAGCACACACACTATGATTTTAATTTTATTTTTGCAAATCATCCTTTATTTTCACTGAATGGAAAGAGCAGCCTGAACATTTTCTTAAGCATCTTGTGTTCCACAGAAAAAAGAAACACAATATGGGTTTCAAGGGACTAGAGCTCGACCGATATATCGTTTTGCCGATATTATCGGCCGATATGAGCCTGTTCCCGATATATCGGTATCGGCGAATATGCCGCTGATATTAATTTTTTTTCCAGAACATATAACGAGTCTGCTTTCGAATGAGACCAGCCCCGCATCGATAGCCCCCGGGGTTCGGGAGTTACGGGTGGTTAAATTCGCGGTCCGACGCCAACCGATCAAGCGATCCCGGGGGGCTACCGACACGTGGAGGGTGGCGTTCGAGAGGGCTCCTCAAGCTGAAGGGATCCCAATTTGGAGGAGATCCACTGGCGCGTTCGCGAGATAGTGACACCAGTCAACACTTTCACTTCAGTAAGGAGGTATCTTGTTCAGGCAGCAGCATTTAAGCGTAATTCAAGTTATTCGACCGTAAGTGCCCTGCGAAGTGGACTTCACATTAAATTCCTCCATGATTCCAGTTCCAAGGGAGCGGACACGTTACATTCAAAGGGCATTAAAGTGCGCGAGAAGTGAATTTATATTTAGGGATGCACTGAATGTTTGGCAACCGAACCGAATAAGCGAAAAGACCAAATAAATTGTACCGAACAATGATATGACGCGATCAAATAGCATCCAGTGCAGAGTGAGAGGCGCGCACTCCAGTGTTGCAACAAAATCCCCAAATTGGCAACACTGGCGCACTCTTTATTATGCAGCACACACGTCAGCAGTGTGGAAGCATTTAAACTGTCGGAGAAAGACACAAAAATCATTACAAGCACCGACAGCGAGAGACTGTTTAGGACTGCATCACATGTCTTCAATGAGA